CTGAAAATGAACAAGAGTTGGGGAAGGACCCACATGTATTTATCAAGTGGCATCAACAAAAGATACCACTGGCACTAGACATGGACTGGGAATGCTCCTGACCACAGAAATCATAGAACCAGCATGAGATTTAAATCAAAATAAGAAACTCATACCCTACAATTTAAATACTTCTCTCCTGTCTGCCTTGGAGCCTTCTGGAGAAGCACTCACTTTTATTTTTTTTTTACTGTTTTTTCAAACCACTAAATGAAAGCAGATATTCTTCTGCTCTTACTTAAATCCAATTGAGACTGCAGAGAAGAAAATGTGGCAATATGCAACTGCAAGAGTTGGCAACATTATACCAACTGTTTGCCTGTGGTATCCAAAATGTAAGCTTTTGCACCTCAATTCCCAACTTTCAGGATGCTGGCACCTTTGTAAATTTGAATTCTGTTTTCTCCACATGCCTCAGTCCTCACTACCAACTCTTCCTCCAGCAGGTGGAATGCAATTACAATGAGAATTTTCAGATTAAAAAACCCCACCACGCTCTACAACTCTGCAAAGAAACAGACAGGGACAAAATTGATAGTACTTCAATCTCACTGCTCTATTGTCTCTTACCTTTATTTAGAGCTATATAAAGGTTTTGTAGATTAAAAGTCTACATAGCGTCAATGACATCTCTTGGCAAAACATGACTTGAAAAAAGTGGAATTAATATCCTTTGTTAGGATATTAAATGAGAAACTAACAAAATATATTGGCAAAACAAAATCCTTCTTATTAAAAAAATCCTGCGGGAAGTCACACAGATAAAATAGCAAAAAAGAAAACATCAGGACCTGTCAGCTAGGCAAACCTCTCTGAGAGTTTCTGACTAGTACAACACTTGTCTGCTTTCAAAACTTTTAGTATGTCACAGATAATTTAGTTCCTTCAAGTGCAGACAAAAAAATAGCTGGCAACAGAGTTACAATTTTCCTCACTACAGGAAAAGCATCTGCAAAAGCACAAGGCATTAGACTGGAGAATGTGGGGTGAGGGAGGAAGGCAGTTATGAATGCAACAACCACTGAGAAATGATTCAATAGATGTTTGTGTCTTACAGTCCTGACACTGATCTGCTACTTACAGACTTCCTGGGTTTAAATGTTTACGTACTTTTGGCCTTCTTTCTTAGCATTAAAACTACATGGCACACATTTTATAGGAGACAATGGCCCAGAGGTTTTGACTTGCCAGCTCTAACAATGCAGACAAGGGGCAGATCCAACATTTTCAACACATCACTCTCAGACTTCCAACTCCCACCTGCAAACCTTGTCTCCTACTAGAACACACCTGCAGATTACTCCTTTGTGCTGTTCTGCATGCAAGTTCTATCATTTATTCATTCAAAGGTTCTTGCTGAAGAAATGCACCACTACAGTCATGTCCTCTAGACTGAAGCACAGACTGCAATCCCAGGGTTTGTTGTGCATGACTCACAATCAAGAAATGGCCTGAGCTCTCACAAAGCTGTTTAGATAAAGAAGAAAGATACAAAACAGATCCCAGGGCCAAATGATGACTCAGGGATCATCTTGTGGTACTTAGCCATTCTGAATTAGGGAACCAGTGGATTTGGCCCCAAAGGCCTCAAGTTCCTGAGGATATTGGATGGTGGCAGCTAAACCAAACACTGCATCCTGTTTTATTTATCTGAGGTCTATCTTGCCAGTCTGGAAGGTCTTCTAGAGTTTCACAGACTTCTCTATTTTCTTTTAGATATTACCCTGTGGAAGCATCATTTTAACTAGCACAGCAGGGGAAGGTGTAGTCCTTTTCAGAAAAGAAACAGCAGAGGACAATATGGGGCATCTCTCCACAGGCAACAGAGGCTTCTAGGTCAAACACACTCATTGTAAATGTATGTGGCACAGCAGCAGATAAGAGAAAAAATGTGGCTGCCTTCCCAGTGCCCTTGTGAACTAACAGATGGCATAGCAATTCACAGTTTCATACTTTACTTTTCCTAACATGGATGTTAGGGGGGTGAGGGGGGAGAATGAGCTTCCCAAATGAATCTGAAGAGATGTGAGGGATGACACTGAATGTCATTCAGATGCACAAACGGTTCAACCAGTCATTGCAATGAAAACCCAACTGCAAATTCCTCAAAGCTATCCCAGCATTTCTTAATGTCCCACAGGTCTGCATTTTACTGTGATTCTCTGGTCATAATTCTTTAGTAATCATCTTGCACAAATTACTCTGCAGAGCAACATTTCCCTCAGCACTGCCAGGTACTGCTCACTGGCTGTTCAAACCAGGCACCACCAGGAGCTGCAACATTCAGGAGATGCAGTTTGCTCCTCTGATTTTGGCAATCTGGAATTTGCCAAATAATTCCACATCTGCTGCAAGACCCCCAGCTTGTTTTCAGGCCAGTGACATTAAAGAAATGGGGGTCCTCACAGATTGTGGTACCAGGGGTTATATAAATATGTTAAAATTGAGGAAATATGGGAGAAGCACTTGCTAGAGAAGGCACACTAATGATACATTAAAAATCCAACTATTTTCCTATATGCTAAGAAGTTACTAATTTTTTCTGTGAAAGACCAGAGGAAATTTGCTGGATTACTCTGGGGAATGTAAATGCATTTTCAGAGAAAAATAGATATCAATCCCAGAAACCATTCCCCGTTTTGCATCCTTACCCTTAAACATCTGCCTAATTTGGAAGCCAGCCTGGGCTGATGGCCAGTGCTCTTTCATTACAGGATGAGCAATCTCATCAACAGCTGGGTAACCAAGTGTAGCAAGTGCAGGACTAAGAAAGTGACAGGGCCTGTTAGAGTAAGATTTGTTGAATGAAATGATACACTGCTGATGATTCTTAATTTAAAACATTGATACTGACTTAGGTTTGATTGTCAGAATGTGCTGGAAATGTCCAGTCTAATTTTATCACTTACTTCCTTAGCAGAATCCCTGATCCTCTGTTTTCAACCAACACTGTGTGAGAGGGCTTTGTTCCCTGTTTTACCTTGATTTTCAAAACTTAACTGAGTTTGGCACTTGCATGATGACTGAAGCCATAATTTGATTGCTGATGATTGCTGCCATAATTTCTTATTTTCTCAAGGAACAAGAGCTACAGAATCTATCTGTAGCCCATGATGTAATTCTTCACATTGCCTCTTGGCTAACTTTCTCATAGAAAGGACATTCAAAAGCAGAGTCTAAACACAGAGTTTTGAGCTGAGAGCTGCAGTAAGCATTAATAGCATTCCCTACAGGACAGTGTTTTACCCCACTGTCTTTGGGACATCTCTGCACTTTTGGCACAGAGACACTCAGGCTGGGTTAATATAAGGCACCAGAGATGTCAAGAGTATGGAGCAGACACACAGCTGCACCAGCTCTGATACTCGAAGCCTTAACTAGTAACCTAAAAATGTACTTTTTGCTTGCAGTCTACAGCCAAAGGTTAATTATAAATCTGTCTTTGCAGCCTACAAGTCAAGGTAAACCATCAAGCATGCAGAGCAGCTAAGCTCTGTATCTGGCTGAAGGTAAAAATGTAAACTCTGCCTTGAACTGCTGTCAGGCTACAGAAATGGAGTTTCTGATCACAAGCCTTTACTGATACTCTCAGAACTTCACTAACTCTGGCCCACTTCTCAGAACACAGAGACATAGGCAGTGCTTGTAGAAATATGAAATACTTGAACCTGCAAGACAAGAGGCTTCCAGAAAGCCCTGCTATTTAAAAACTGCATCTGGAGTGAAACCCTTCATGTTTAAGACAAAGGAAGGGAAAGCCCTCGAGTCTCTTGCTAAAGAGCTCTCTCTACAGCTGCAAGAAGCAGTTGGAGCCACAGCACGAAGTGTCCAACCTCTGTGACAGGATTGCAGGGCAAACAGTAAGTCCAAGTCCACAACAGCCTCCTTGGTCAACGCAGGGAAGATGAAAAGGCTAACCAGAAGGCAGAGCTCCCAGCCTCACTCACCATCCCCCTGGCCCAAACCTTCCAGGCAGGCTGCCAAGTCTTTAAGCCCCACTGCCAGGAAGCTGGGAACTCAAATGAAAAAGGAACTGGACAGTTTTTCAATAAAGTATCTTGCTAAAACTAGGACACCTCTGCCATTCTACAGAGAATGCTGAATCAGCACAGAACATCCTTGCATGGGAAACTGCTCCCCAGACCACTGGCACACTTAGTAAATCCTAGACAGTTAGCTGAGGAGACATGGAGATTTCCCTCAATACTAAACTGAAAAAGTAAAATCAAGCAATTAAAACCTCTTGGAATTAGCACTGCTCTGAAGAGTGAGTTCATACTGTCTCTGCTCCCAAATTAGACTGTTTCTTTAAGCACCACAGCTAAACACATTATATATTCTTACCAGCAATATGCTATTAATATCAGATGTGAGCAGATACACATTGTCTTGTTCAGGACAAGGCTTTTTTTCCATTTTAAAATATTAATCCTCTGTAACAGAAAATTCTAGGAGTTCTAAAGCACTCTTTAAGTGTCATGAAAAAGGCAATATAACTAATGAGAAACAGCAAAAATTGAAACAAGATTAAGATATTGCAATTCAATTTCCTAGAAAATAATGTGCCACCAGCTGTGTAAGCTTTCCTGTTGCTAAAACAAATATTCTGAAAACAAGCAGGCAGATGTTTTACACTGTAGCCTGTCTCCTCAGCAGTCAGGCCTCCAAAAGAACTCTCAAGTTGTCTCTTAGATTGTAAAAGGGCTTTAAAGACAGCCATTGAACACACTGATTTGATAAGCAGGACTCTGAGTTACCTTTAATTTTTATGTTCAACTCATTAACTCTGAGCTCCTGCAGACACATCCAGTACTGCCATCACACACACTCTGTGGTCCCTGAACGCAACAAATAAGCAGCACAACGTGCACCCTTCCTCTGGCACACCACACAAGACACATGCTGACTCCAGCAGTTGGACTCTTGGGTTTTCTCTCCCAAACAGAGAGGCAAGGGCCTACCTGCTGATTCCAGTGACAGGCACTGTGCATTCTGTAGAGTTTCCTCTTCTGGAAACTATGAAGTGGCCTTGTTCGGGCAGATGTGCTCACATTAGTCACAGAGACAGATCTGAGCCTTGTCCTGTCTCTTCTTCTTTTCTTGATGTGCTGATGGTCAAGCAGCCAGCTGCTTGAAGAGGACACCTCTCTATTGTCTGAAGCTCTGCAGTTTCATGAATAATGAGGAGAGGAAATACAAAACATCAGATATGCTCCACATGCACAGGCCAAGATTTCACACACAGATTAGCATTAGCTATCTAATTCTAAGAGAATTTCATAAACACCATAAGGTTTTAGCATGCTCTTTCAGACAATTGTGTATGTGCTCAGTTTGCTAGTTAATTACTTTCATGTCAGGTCAGGAAAGGCAACTTATCATTCTTCTTCACCTTTGTGTTCATGGAAACATACGTCAAAATGAAGCTAAGCCCTCAAGCATATATCCAGTTTTGTTTTTTGCAAATTCAAGAACACTCCAATATTTTTAACACATATGAGTTTCAAGTTACAATTAATATTTCCCTTCACACTGATGTTCCATTCAAGACAGCAGTCATGCTAACATAAAGGAGACCCAGAGCTCTGTCCTAATACTTTAAAGACTTTCTGGTTTTGCTCAAGAACTGAAACCTAAGTAAAGCTCTACAAGCCAGTGATCATTCAGCACAGGGTTGCAACTCACTGTGAAGCACTTGTACCAAAATTAGGAACTCTACAACTTCAAGTGCAGAGAGTCAAAATCAAGTGCAAAGATGTGGCCAAAAGCAGTAGAAGCCCCTGCATGTATGTGTAGAACAACCTCACACCGTTCTCACCAACCTAGAGCCTGTCTGGTGACCAGAATTTAAAACAGGTAAGAATTTAAAACACCCTCCCATCGGGGTGGGAATGACTCAATGGGAAGACTGAACTTCCCTGCTATAGGTATTCCTGATTTTATTTATATTTGATTTATATCAACATCTGCCTGCAAAGTTGAAGGCTTGCTGCAAAAAGCCCTCCAGTGTGCTTTTATTTTTACAATACTGAAGACCTTGATCACAGCTCTGGACTGTCTGAACAGTGCAACTACACAAGGTATTTTGGCCTTGGTTCATAACAGGTCATCTGTCTGCACAAATGATTATTTTGTCTTATGGCAAGTCACAGTTTTATTAGTAAAGTTATGACACAACAGAACATGAAAATTAATTTATTACAAGGACACTTATAAATCTTTTTTGACAGGTGATATTCTTTCACCAGTACATTTTTATTAAATGAAAAGGCTTGTAATGGAAGTGTGATTAAACACCATCCCATGCTGTGTTGGAGTGGTAACAAGGCTTTACAGGCTTGAATTTGAGCTGTTTTCCTGACACAGCAATATAATCCAATAAGCAACACAGACACATGAAAACAACATGCTAATTAACAGAGGGATTGTACAAAGCATTTAGAGGAACATACCAGCAAGTGCCAAGAAAAAGCCCAAAATACTGAGGCATGACATTCTTAATGTTAACACTGCATTTTTAAGGCTTGAGAAAGAAATAAAAGGTTTACAGTCCATGGAAAAGATTTCTTAAAATACTCTCTCTGAATTCTCAAAAACATTTTCTAAGTCAGATGGTCCCAAGCTCAACTTGCGGATTTCCACATACCTCTCCCTTAAATGAGAGAAAACTTAGATAAATTAGAACAAAAAGCTCCTCAGCCTGGCTCTTTAACTTCTGTGATTTCTGCCCTTGTTCTGGTGGTCTGCCAAGGCCCTTGGTAATTTCTCTACAGTCTCTGACATCTGCTGTATTTACCCTCCTGTGCCTTGCAGCATTGCACCACTCCACTTTCAGATGAAGAGATCTCATCTTCATGGCCTGGAGCTCCAGTACTTGGCAGTGGGGTTTTCCTGCCACTTGTGTAAAAGGTTTCCCAATGAAGCTTTGAGTTACCCATCTGGCTTGATCTTAGTCTGAGTATTTTTCAAAATGTGATTCTACAGAAGAGCAAAATGAACCACGGCCAGATGTGAAAGTCATAAATTTGCTAGAATGCTCCTTTCAAAGTTCATAGGTTTGCCTTTTTTGCTCCTAACCTTACTTCAAGATGCAAGCCTGCACAGCAAGCCATCAGACAGGCAATATTTGTCCTGAAGAAATAATTTTTTCCTTCCTCTCCCTTCATAAGAAAGTGGGTATCACTAGTTTAGGGAACTGCTTCTGTGAGCATCTACCTTCATGCAATGCTTAGGGCTAATCTTGGCACCTAGATTCAATTGAGCAAGGAAAGGCAACACAAAAAAAAAGAAGGCACTAATGTAATTAGGCCTTGACAGATGGCAATTCAAAGTTACCCACATTCAGTCAAGCAGGAACTGTCCAAGCACCTCCATTTCCTCTGCAAACAGCCCGTGTAACCAACTGTACTGCAACCCCACAATTACCAACCCCAGAGCTTCTCATGTTTAAACCTCCTTTAAAATGGAAAATTGTGGTTTTCACATCAACAGCCTACAACTAATTTCAAGAACTTACTTAAGTGAAAATTGCTATCATCTGTTTTTCCTCCCTCTCAAAAACGAAAGAATCCCCTTATTTTCCATTTGATTTTGATTTCTGCTTTCTGAAATACTGAATACAGTCAGAATGAACTCTACAAAAAGCAAGGGGAGAAGCCGCTAAGAATTAAGTTAACTGCAGCAAGTTAATTATTAAGTTAGTTCAATCAATTGAACACACAGCTACTACAACAACAAAATACCACCAAAACCCTGAAACAAGGAACATCAAGAAGTAAAAGGCAGTAAATTTCCCTGCAGGATTCTCATGATAACCACTCTATTTCATGCATCTTTAATGAACAGTATTTATTGGCAGATCTTAAAACACTTCATAAGCAGAAAAAATTTAAATTAACTGTTTAACTCATGTTTAAGACAGCATCTAGAAAACCCTAAAATCTCTCAGAGCCCCTTCCAACACCTAACTTGCCAAACTCCACTTTAGAGCTATGGCACTGAGAAAATCTTCCATGTCCTAACATTTTTCTTTGGACTTTTTTAGGTCATGAGTAGAAAACAACCAACCTTAGAGATTGGTCCATGAGCAAACAAAGTGTTATTCATGAAATGGAAAGACTAAATTTGGACTAATAAATAAGAAGATAATTGGCCTGAAGTTACATCATTAGAGTCTCTCATCATGAAGTTAACTTCATACACTCCTAAAAACATTTTTAAAATCAAGAATTCTTTCTCACAGGTCTCACAAAAAAGTCAGATTCAAGACACAGCCTAAATGACTGTTCTTCCACACACCCATCTCCATTAGCAACTCCTATTTCAGGGCTATTTTTAGTCCACATCTGAGAGGAACCTTCTGATTTTCTCCTACATCATCTACAAACAACTAACACACCAGGAGTAGGGATGTCACAAGGCAGGACCCCTTCATCCTTAAATTTAGGGCAGAATCACACAATCACTGCAGAACAGAAGGCAGCCAAAGAAGCTGCCCATCCAAGCTGCTCACTATAATCTCTTTGTGGGAGGCTCCAGCCTCTGCAGCAAAGCTGAAACAGACGGTGTGGCCAGCTCTTCTTGCAGCCAGGAGCCAGGGAATTACGCCCTGCGCACTCTGCCACAAACACCCCAGCTCTAGTTGGAAACAGTTTCTTCATCCACCTGACCTCAATTGAGACTTGTGAATAACAGCATCCTCAAAAATCACATTACAAGTATCTCAGGAGAAATATCCAACACACCTAGACCTTTTGTAATTGCATTCAATTACCTTAATGTTGCTTTGAAACTAATACTTATTACAGCTTGTACTGTACTTAAAATCTTTGAATAAAAGAGAGAAGTACCTAGCAGTATGGACTAGCACTGAGAAACACTTTTCTAAAATATTAATTTCAACCTACAGTCATTCTGGAAGGTATGTCCATCCAGAACTAAATACTTTGAATGGAAAATAGTATCTCCAAATTCCTGAAAATGTGGGTGGCAAAGATAAATTTGGCCTTTTATTGAAGACGGATCGGCTTAAAATTAATGAAGTTACCACCCTGACACTGAACCCTGCTGAGACATGTGACATTGCTTATGTTCTACTAATCTACTAAGTTTGTCAGTTTTCCAGAAATAAAGCTGCACTTGTCATGACAGAACATGAGTCTCAAACAATCACAATAATTGTGATCCTATATTCTTTCACTACTTCACAGATTCATCTTCCAAGTACTTAAATAGTTATAGTGACTATACATTTATAATATCTTTAGGAACAACACAAAACCCTACTATTGTCAGCCTTACAATCAAGACTTGACTTCTCTTGAAGCCTGCAGAAAGCAGCTCTTTTTTCCTTATTTAATATTGTAATGATTATTAGTTCCATATAGATAACTTTACCAAAGTTATCCCACCTGAAGGAGATACCATTGACCAGCTGTCTGTGTCTACAGGTCTTGGAGGAAAGAGATGAAGAAGCTGGAGACAGATTGAGTGGAGCAATTAGGCTGCTGATGATTTCACTTAGTTGTGCACTCTGGAAAAAAAAATTAAAACTAAAGGTAGTCAGACTTATCCAGACTCAACAACTCAAAGGTGATGGGTTCTTGTTTTCCTACTTAGGATTTCAGTCCAGTACATCATGAAATAATCATATTTAGTTTCTTCTTGTGAATAACTGTGAAAAATTGTGGTTTTCTTTCACAATTATTAAGTTCAACCCAACCAAAACCCAAATAAAACACCAACAAAACACCAACACAACCCTGAGCATTGTTTATACACTTGAAGTAGCACCCTGAATACATCAGTGACCTTAATATTGTAACCAGAGGTCTTTAAAAGAAAAAAAGAAACCAGAACACTTCACAGTTGGTATTATTACAACAGCTGCAGCCAGAGCTGCTAACTGGCCATTTGACAAGCATTTCAACAGGGGGAAAAAAAAGGTCAGCTGTCTTTTCATTGTACATTTTGTTCACTCAAAGTATTTTTGTTCTTAAAAGAATTGTCTTCATTGCTTATTACAGTTTGACAAAGGTGTTTTTATAAAAGGAAGTGTACGACTTGAGGACTATTGTAATGACAGACAGAATGGGTAAGATCTTTGGAATCCTCAAAAACAGCAACAAGAGACAACCACCCTGCCACCCAGTTCTCCTGCAAAAAAACCTGACTTTCAAAACTGACCCAAAACAAATGAAACAAATGTAGCCAATTTGTTAAGACTAAGAATTACTCCTTCCAAAGCAATGAATTGTGGACTGACTCCAAAAATATTTCACAATGATTTTTTGTTTTAAATGTCAGACCTTAAAGGCTATTCTCACAATAAATGTAACTTGCTTAGAGGAAACTGTGTTCTGCACACTGAACAGAAATTTAATGTATCTGAAATGGCATACTCCTTTAAAAAAAAAAAACAACCAAACCAACTTTTTGCATTACTTTGCTGGATTTTCATTCAGAATTAAGAATGTTAAAAACATTAATTGCTAGAGTTTATCTAGTAAGTTCTCCTTACATTTTGATTTTACATTTACATTTATGCAGAAATAATTTTTGTTGTTTTATTACAACTCACATATTTTCTGTTAACATGTAGGTGATGTAGTCAGGTAAAAATTTCATATCAGAATGAAAAAGTCAGGAATGGATATTAATGCACAGAAATATCAAGTCAATTATAAAAGAAATAGGCAAAGCAAATAAGATGCCAATAAAATAGTTACCAGATTGATTTAAAAATCTCAGCAGAAATCATTATGTAAGGAGTAGTATCTATTGAATATAAGAGCATTTAAAAATAGGCAGACTTCCAAAACACAAGGAAAAACATACATGTAGCTGTGAAAAGGACTTGAAAACAGTACTAATAAAAATTGCCATCCTCAGTTACTTTTATTCTACATGACTTTTCTTTTGCTTCACAAGCAAAATTCCTTATTTTTAACAAAGGAATACTTTAGCACCAGACTGAGGAATGCTGTGGGAATATCTGTAGATGTTCTTCATGCTGCAGCACTGTTGCTCCTGACACTGAACAAGAAACTCAGACTTTCAGAGTTAAGAACAGAACTGGTAGTCAAGAAGGAAATCAAATCCCAAGGCTTTTAGCGGTGTAAAAGAGAAGAAATCCAATGTGTTGTGTGAGATGTGTTAGTCTACTTCCATGTAATTTTCAGATCATCAAAGTTTTTGCACCCCTTGGACCAAGTTTGTGGCTACTTGGGGACCAGGAAACAGACCACTATCCTCTGAATCATCAAAAGTCTTACTGAAAAGTGTATTTAATTCTCCAAGCCACCATTTAAAAGAGGGGCCATTCACCATTCATCACGTTCTGAAAATGCTCTTTGGGTTACCTTATGCAATTGCCAGCACTGAGCATATAAATTTCCTGTTTCATTGCTTCCTCACTCCTGCCTATGGTGGATAAGATTTATCAACCAGAGGAAGCATTTTAATAACAGGAAAGTATGACGATCAAGTAAGAAAAATTGGCACAGAGATTCAGAAATAGGCACTAGTAATTAATGCTGTTATACCCCTTTTCAAAAATGTGTGTATCACCAGGAATTTATGTAGAGCAGCAGAGCAACAAATTAATGTCCCACAGTGGCTTTGTTTTACACAAACTGCATAAATTCATTCTGTAAAACAAATTTCCAGTATCTCCTTCAGCAATGTGATCCTACCACATCCTTTATGTACTTTCAGGCAAAAGAAAACCTTGCTGGATTCTACACAGTATTTCCTGGAATCAACCATGGGAACAGCCATTTTGCACACTGCAAAGCAAAACTCTGCTCACAACTACATCTCCACTGTACCCAGTAGGCACCTGGAATTCCTCAGCTCCAAACCAGAGTCCCACAATGTTTGAAAAGGCAGATGAAATAATTGTGTTCTGCTGGAGCCTTTTTTTTTTCTTTAATTTCAAGAGAAATATATCTCTCTTGTCAGTTGTTCTCTTTCATCTCACATAAATCTTTTCCTGAAACAACCTGTGGAAACTCTACACTGGCCTGACTACAAAGCAGGAGCAGGTTTGTGGATGGTTCTTAGAGGCTGTTATGTGTCCCTTGGAGGGAAACAATGTGGTAATACAGACACATCAGAAATAAAAGGTTAATTTGTAAACCTCCTGTACAGAGTAGTTGTTTAAATCCTTCAATTAATCACCAACCAATCCCAGGACTGTAAAATATCTTTCTTTTTGGGAGTCATCACCATGGAACCTCCCTATTTCTCAAGTCAATCATTTGGCTTCACTGAGGATGTGTGGATAGAAAAACTCCAAAACTTGTAAAAGTTGTGAAGTTAGTATGATTTATTTCAGTGCTGTTCCCCAAGGACATGCACACCCCTGAAAATTCCCAGATTTACTTTATCCTCTAACTTGCTGCATATGCATAAAATACTAATGCATATGCATTAAATTGCCTTATCAATTTTATGAGTTTGTGCAGTTTTTCAGTCATACTTGTAGTTTTAGTTGTAATGTGGTGTTTGCAACCTAGATTCAGTGTTTTTGTTTGTTTCAGCCTCAAGGTTGGTGGGGCCTTTCTTATCTCTCTTTAGTTTGGATGTTTGCACTCTTTTTTAAGTAGTCTTGAATCTCTTTTCTTCTCTCTGCAGACCTTTTTGTGAGTACACAAGTTAAAAGACTAAACAAGCAGATTCTAGCTAAATCTAAAATTGATTTTTACTCCCAGATAAATTTCCAACCCCCTGTTTCAACTGGGTTTTGTTTTACTTTACCTGTTTTTCTATGTTTCGTAAAAGCAGAGTGGGACTGCTGGGTGACATTTCAAAGTCATGCTCCGGCAAAGAATCCTGGCTCTCAATGGCAGCTTGGGAATTCCCTGTGGCGTTTAATAAAGCTTCTTGCTCTGTCAATTGGATCTGCTTCTTCAAAATGTGTTTTGGAAATGGGAATTCTTCTAAGACCACCATCCCCTAGACAACAGCAATTGAACACAGTTGGTTGACAACAGATTAAGCCTCCTAAATAATTTCTAAGGGGCAGTCAAACCTTGCACATTCCTCTTAAATCCTCCTGACGATTTTCGAGCACTTAGCTAGATTTTTAAATACACTTCACAGCTAAAATATGGAAATAATAGGCATTAAAAAAAAAAAACCAAACTGCATCAATTATGCTACTTCTTGTAAGAGCAATCACTCCAGTGTTATACCACTGCTTAAACATCTGTGCCAAAATTCAAATCAGAAATTCATACCTATTAGAATATTACATGATAATTTGCCTGCTGATTTAAGAGGAGGTTTTTCTCTAAAAAATTATTACCCTTTGATTTGAACTTGGTTTTAGTCTTTGCAGTCAATAAACTCTGCTGGAGACATTTTTGAGTGCTCTATTTCTCTTATTCCTATCCATGTTCTATGCAAAACATCAAGGCTGTTATTTTTATGTAGCAGAAATTATTCAATTCCAAACAAAAGCTTTTTAAAATTTAATAACTGATTTTTTTTAAGGTGAGCATTTTTAGTGTTTCATAATTAAAAGTAACTATCCTAAATATTCCAGCACTGTCACTATTTTTCAAGGCCATTTCCACAAATGTGGTCTCAGATTTGTGGTGTACCATCTAAAGCACCACCTAGTAAGATAAATATAACTTTATGTGTTAAGGAAATAACAGAGTTTCATAAATGGAACTAGATAAATAATATCCCTATTGTGTTTTCCACACAACAGATTAGAAAAATCTCTAGTCTAGAAAAGTCTCTAGCATAATCCTAGGTAATGTATCAGTTGGTTTAAAAACAAAATGTTAAACAAAATAAAAGCAAAAATAACCTTGTGACAGTCAAACCCAGTCCTAAATAGTTCCTTGGTTTGTTATTATCTTGAGCAAATAAATTTAATACCAGAAACAGCTATTAGACCTCTCCAGGCTTTTTTCAAAGAGAAAGAGAAAAACTTATTTGCTTTTAAAGTACTAACTGCAACTGAAATATCAAGCAGATATTAAAAGAATGGGATCATTATAATTCTGCCTCAAATTTGTCTTTCTAATGAGAATATTCCACTCAATCAAAGCACAAGGAAGCCTGCTATAATGTGAACACAAGGAAGCCATACTGTTATTTCTTTAACCAAGACAGACTTCACCTAGGTTGTGGCTGTCGAAAACTAAAGATCCTGTAGTTTCAGCAAGACCTTTACTACTGCCTCAGCCTCAAAACATAAAAACAAGTCTCAAAGAGACTTCAAAGAGGAGACTAGGAGAAAAAGTGAAATTGTCTTGCTCTCACTGTGCCTAACTTATTCCGTTGTTTGAATTATAAATTCAAAGCTGAGAATAAAGATATTCTCTAGAAATAAACAAAGGTGCTTGAAAACTTGGTTTAATGCCTAAAAAGGGCACAGAGATTCTAAATGTCCATCAAGTCAGTGCTGGATTTTCCACACAGATCATCACCTGCACTTTTTCATTTACAGCAGATGGACACAGATCCAGACCAGCAGCATGCTATGGGCAGTACATTCAAGGAAATTCAAGTAGAGAACTAATGTTTGGGTGCCGTAACAGGAATACAAACTACTTCAACAGCTTTAAACTTCTTTAGCACTTAGAATCTTTAGGTCTTTTTAGTAAAAGGATTGTAGGTCATGACCACAGAGAGTCTAAAACCAAAATTATGAGGTCAGAGGAATGGGAAGACACACATTAAAAGTGTTGAAAAGAGGGACATACACACACACATGCTTCCACTGGAATTTTATTTTTTGAAGTTTTAGAAACTTGTTTACCAAGCATGGAAAGAAGAAAGAAGAAAAGGAAGAGGGAAATTGACAGAGTGTATGGAACAGGACAGATGGAATAGGCAGACAACAAAAGAGCAAGAGTAAAGAGTTAGAAGACCAATACAGGCTATATTACAAGAAATGGGTTACAATCAGTAGGTTTTGGCAATGATTGTCTTCCTCCCCAAATGGAATTGTTTTGTTTTGCAGATATAGATTTTTTTTAATGAAAGGACTCTCAAAGATCCAGAGGTGCTACTTCTGTGTCTGTAGAGATGGAGAAGACACACTGTAGAAGGCCTGGAAACAGCCCACGAGTTACTCATGTCCCTTCCTATTGCATTGTGGTGCTCAAGGAGTGGCCTTTTCTTGAAATTGTTGCTCCCTGGCTATGAATCACTTTTTTTTTCCCAGAGTCAAAGATCATGAAAAACACTGAAACCATTAAACAGCATACAAATTCTAATGATATTGTGTAATTCCTTTGCAGCCACTAAATGAAAACAAAGAGCTCTTCTGTCAGCCCACATGTCCTTCTGTAGTTGCTGCACTGGTGAACTATAAACATGTGCACAAAAAAAATCCCATCTGAAGAAAATAGGTGCCTGCTTCACTATGGGACACAGTGCCAAACACTAAATACCACAGCTGGTAAAATGGGCATGGGAGTTTCAGAAAGGAATGTCACTAAAAATCTTCACCAGGAAGATGACTTGGCTCCAAACTAACATATCACCTAAAGAAAAAGCATGACTAAAATGATGTTTTTCCTCTTATTCCTCTGATATTTATTTCTCAATCTTCTGTAGCTCATCTGACCTACAGCATCATAAAGGCTGACAGCTTTTGGGTGTAAGAGTGTGCAGGTATCTGGTATTTAGGACAACACTAAACAATGGGCATTCTCACTCTTCACCAAAATATAAAATTTTCTTACACAGACTCTTAAACAAAGGCTCTTCATTTCTTTGTAAAGAAAAACGTGACTGGGGACAAGCTGGATATGAAAGGAAGGGCTCTGAGGGCAAAAAGGAGAAGCTGGAATAATTCTTCTTTATTTGTTCAGAGGGAAATGCTCTCTGAGGTGATTTTCCTCTCCTTTTAAACTCCCTCTAAGTCTCATATTCCACCACATAAACTCTGAAGCATCTTCTTGCTCCTCTCAGTTGTGCTTATCTGACCCCAACACACACCAGAGAACCTACATGAGGGTCACTGATGGAGAGTCAAAGAGCCCTGCTCTAAACCCCTCACTATCACACCACCTCACACAGGTTTGGCTTCTATGTCAGAATGACCTGAGGAACACATTAAACTGATAGCTAGATTACTAAGGGTTTAGGAATGTCACTTTCCCACTGACTAGGCAGCTCAATTTACAAAAACTAGTACATGAATTACACACACTGGAATTTTAGTAATTATTAATCCTTGACCTGTTCAAAGTGCTGTACAAACATTAACCATCTAATCCTCAGAATAAACATGCACTGCAAGTAACAAAAATCCCACCCTGAAAGCCCACAGCACAAAAACAAATAACTGACCATCCCACCTGAAAAGGCAATCTCGCCTCTCCTGCAGGGGGAAAAACCAGTAATAAATACAGCACTGTGTGCTGGGCCCCTGAAAGCCACTAACAAAATCACTATACAGTTACAAAGGTAAGAGTTCCCAAATCACAGTCCTATACTGGTGCCGTATTTTAGCTTCTGATGTCTTTCCCATTAAGCTCTGCAGGTGACAGCCTGCACAGACACAAGAAGTGTAGGGCAAAAAAAAAAAAAAAAGAACAGCAACAAGGAACCAAATACATAAATATTACAAGAAACACTGTCAAAAGATGATTTGAAAAGCCCATTTTCGAGCTTACAGACAATACCTTGGTGGCACGTATTTGCCTGTGAAGGTCAGTTAGTTGTTGGATTTTGTATTCTAGTTCTGAAATCTGGGCTTGAAGCCATGTCCAACGGCTGCCAATTCTAGCTCTGTCTGCAAGCCACTTCCATTCAGAAGTATAGCTGCTGTGAAGACAAAATGCTGGTTAGTCCAAAAATAAAGATAACCACATTTGCACAAGAACATTTTTGACAGCTGCTCTGCCTCATGTTGCAAGCATCTCAGTTGCTTTCAGAAGATATCTGATTATACCCATCCAGTTTCACATCAGCTAATTTCTGTAGCAACAGAACTTGCCCAAACCAGTACAGTCCATGCTCACTGGCTATTCCCACACTAAGCTAGTTTTTTGTTCTGGATTATAAAACTCAGAGCTGGATAAACTACCAAACTATATCAGTTAAGGCTGATTACAGATGTGTAAAGAATTCCAGTAACTCCACCAGCAAGAATCCAAACTCTTACACCATACTTCCTCCCACAAGCTTTCACAAATATTGTTTGCTAACAACTGGAATCTAATAAAACATCATACAGCAATGACCAGCTATATATCAGGTCACTGCCCAAACAAAAACCAGCTAAGTGGTTTAAATTTCTTTTCTTCAAGTTTTTTATAAATATCCGTGTCAGTTTAGTTTAGTCAGATCACTCTTACTACTGTTTAAAATAGATGATTTTTGCAATACAAAAAAATACGCCTCCTGGTACTTGACATTGTGAACACCTTAATTTTATTATGCTACATTCATCACTGGTATCAGCAAACATTACTCAACTTCCATATTAAACAAATGAGTGAGGAAACCATACCATGCAAACAATCTTAATATTCAATAAGTCTAAGCAACACAGACAAGACAATGCAGTGTTTTAGTACGTAACTTCCAATACTATCCTACAATTAACTGAGTTCATTTATTTACAGAAAGCAACTGGTGTTTTTTTCCCTACTGAAGGTGTCAAGCAGTTTGCCACAGGTGACTTAAAAAATTGTAAGAACAAAAATCAAACTTGTAGAAAAGAAGTGCTTTTCCTCAAGTTATTGGAATAATGGCTGGATCTAGATCCTTGACGACACTGTAACTTTTGCACATGCAGAATGCATCATCTGCTGCTCCCCAGGCAATGAAGAGCACTGAAGTATCACAAAAGAGACAAGAAATAGCAGATGCCAAATGAACTGGCATAGGAACATAATACAGGTGTAATTGTTTCATGCAGAATTTTGTGTCAAGTATCTCAACAACAAAGGAAGATAACACAGCAGAAGATGCTAGACATGCATGAGTAGGAAATCATCAAATTTGAGAATCCTAACATTTTCAAGGCTAATATTATAAAACATAACTCAAAGTTTCAGAACCTTCAGTCTAGTTTAGCTATTATAAAGACTAAGGATAGACACAGTCTCTGGTAGGTCACCTCTAAATACATAATCTTCTCCCTTTTTAACATAAATTATCCTCCCACATAATTTATCACCAGTTTAAACTCTCTCGTACACAGAAAAAAAATGAACATATGAAATTACGGTGATTGAAGCATCCTATTTAAATACAAACTACCAGGAAGAAATCTGGATTACTATCAAAAAGAAACTCAAAGAACTCTGTAAATATATAGGATAATAAATTACTTGCATTTTACATATTCTACTAGTAATTTTCTCCTAGAAAAAAAGGCATATGAAGTCATCTTGTGAAAATCTATTTTTCTGACCTCTTTTTTATTTCTCTTTATCTTCCCATTATTGCCAGCAAAGAGCAAAAAGTCCCAATTAGTTATGCTTTAACCAGGTCTTCCTGACAAGAACTTCTCTGGGATTGACAGCTTTTGCATGTTTGTGCTCCCGAAAACCATAAAATACACTTTGCTGGGAAAGGGAGGCAATCTGAATTCCAAGTTTTTAATTAAATGTGTTCACACAAGCATGGTGGCTGGAATAGTTAAGACTTGTCTCAGGACCCTGGTCTGGCAAAAAGCTACTCCTAAGAAAGATCTGCTTAATGAGTCTATAAAAATCCCTTAGTTAATAATTTTAACAAAAAAAAAGTTAAAGAGGAATAAAGAAGATAAGGGAGAAAAACCCAAGTGTAGTAATGAGGTGTTGTATTTCTGCTCCTTTCAAAAAAGGCAACTGAGGAAATGAACAAAGAAATCCCACATTGTAAAAAGAAAATAGAGGTGGAAAGAAACAATTCACACCAACAGATTTACCTCCCAAACTAGATCCAACAGTGTGGGGGAAAAGGTGAGCTACTCTCAGACTGAGGAGGAGAGGGAAGGAAGTGAGAAGAAAAGGCGTCCTGTACACAGCTGGGAAACAAGAGGCAGAATGGAAAGGGCCAGAACTGGCCTTGTCACCTACACTGCATGAAATCAGTGTGGCAGAAGGGAACCCACAGCAAATATCAAACCACAGCTGACAGCAGAAGGAATGTTCAATGTTGTAACCTCTGTATGTTACTGTCTTACACATAAACAAGAATCTTCTGCAGAGTTACATCACAAGGTATTTTTCAAAAATGGTTGCATTTCTTTTTCCACTTAGACACAGTATTTAATCTTGAATTAATTGCATTCACTGGTAAACATATTAAGTGCATTTTTGCTTCATTCCAAAACACTATGCAAGTATTTCTTAAGGCTTTAAATTCTATTAGATAATTTAAATAACAGCATTTAATTACACTGTGTAACAAAGTCCTTGGGCCCCACTCTAAGGAAAGGTTTCCACCAAACTAAGCACAAACATTTTATGCTCAGGCCAAAGAAGCAATTTTAGTTTCCCTGTCTCTCCAGGCTGCCCCATCCCCAGTGCTTGCTCAAAGACATGGATTAGAGAGCTGCTCCTGGTTAATTTTAATTTTAGGGGCAGCATGACTGAAGCAAGTTTAAGTTTAGATCTCTTCCCCAGTTTTGATGCATTGCACACAGGGTAAGAGACACAAGCATTGCTGAACTCTGTTCCCATCCCTGTCACTCCTACTTGTTTGATCTTGCAATATTTTTAACCATCTTTTCCTCTAAGCCTATTTCTCTACAAATCTTTTAGTAAAGCTTGTAACTCCTAAGGAAGATAGAATCACTATGAGCTATCCTCACACTCCTTTGTGTTCGCACACACAGTAGTACAGTCACTCAAGTGACAAATGACAACCTGCAACAAAAAAAAAATCCAAACCAACCCTGAAACAACCCCCAAACCTGGGTAAATCTCTTCCTGCTCGACAGTAAAGCTTAACATTTGCTCAGTAAAGGAAGTTGTTTCAAGGTGGTTTCAGAGAATGCACTAACTCTGCAAACCCAGAGAAGAAAAAAAAAACCCAAAAAACCAAGCACAGTTACAAAAATAACCAGGCCTGTCACTGGAGGAGGAAGACAGAAGCAGGTGCTAAAGTAGAAGCTCCTGCTCTTGTTTTCTGTTGGGAATGAGACAAGAAAAAAGATGTTTCTGTCTGTCCCACTTCCTGTGTGCTCCCTCTGCAAAGTATCTTTACTTGGTTTCTGTGCTTTTGACTCTAAGATCATACATCCTCAACAGGAATTCCAAAATCTTTCTTCTGCTAGCAACTCAGTATAAACCATGTTACACTATCTCATGTGAAGTTTCTCATGTTCAGTACTGTAGTACAGTGGAATATTACATTTGCATATAAACTTACTGCTCTTGCAAAGACTCTAAATCTGCAGCTGACCTCCTACATTGATCCAGGACTATCAGAGTTGGAAGAGAACACAGCAATACTGATTTTGTATCAATAAAACATCTCATTTAAATTGCCCTAAGAAAACATGCTGGAATTGCATCAGGGGCAACTTGTTTCCATGCAAAATATCCGCCTGCATTTCTGTTTTTGTTGGACTGCAAGTCGATCCTGCACAACATAGAAGGAAAGAAAAGAAATGCAGCAGAATAAACACGGCACAACGAGCAGAAGACAAATGCAAACAAAGTATGATCAAAAAGACAGCTGGAAGCAGACATTCAGGCTGTACAGGGCATCCCAAAGTATGGGAAAGAGTTCAGCTGGGGATCATCAGCAACAGCAGAGGCAGTATAAGTATTTCATGCTGCTTGCTTCTGCTGAGGCTGAAGAGGCAAGCAAAGAGCACTAAGAAATGCTATTACAGTTGGTGCTGCTGCTGGAACTGAAGGAGGTTTCAGCCATGACCTAAGGAGAGAATGCACACATGAACCCCTTAGCACTCTCACCTTCCCTCAAAGAGAAGCACTGAGAACAAACCATGTTTTTACATAACCAAATCAACAGTGCAGAACGCAACAGGACTCGCAGAAGTACTTCCAGTGCCTCCATTGGGTTTCAGGTGAGATTTATGTTTTCCCAATAGCTAAGATCAGCTTGTCCCAAAAAACAAATGCAAGCAACCTAGCTGAGAAAAAAAGGAGCAGCTAACCAAGATGAAATTGCTGTGCTACACACACTGCTGGTTGGGGTTTGTGCGTGGGTTTGGGGTTTTTTTGGTTACAGGAGACAAGAAGAGGTGGAATTTAAACCTTAGAGGCATATTTTATTTTTATAAGCAAACAATAAGCTTGAAAACTGCTAATAAATGATGGAGAAACACAGTGGTATTTAAAATGCACAAAACACACAGAACCTGCGGTTGACAGTAAGTATCCAGGAAGGTTGGTTCAAGCAGGTATGATAAGCACAGGAAAGTATTTTAGAGTGTGCAGCCCTGTGACCATGGCAAGCTTCTCCACAAGTAATCTCATATGCTGAAAATTAAAGCAAACTAAAGCCTTCCACCCTTGTAACTCCCAGTGAGAAGTACCATGCCCTGCCATGGCACGTCTGCAGGGACAACGACAGGATGCTTCCTGCTAAACAGGAAAGGAGCATGCCTACAACAGACCCACATCAAAACTCAAAAAACCGTGTCACAACCCATAACACCTTTCAAAAAGGCTTTAAAGACACCAACATTTTCAAGTAACAATACTCTTAAATGAATACAAGCCAGAGACCAAGGTACTCACATGATGTGGGTGGGAAAACCCCCTCAAATTACAAAATTCTTCATTAAACATAAGAAGGGCAGTTGTTCCTGACATCCCCTCCTACCATTTCCGCTCAGTCTCAGCGTGGGGTATTTT